ATCCCCAGGATATTTCTGTGAATTAACAAAAACCTTCTGTTTTATAATCACAGCACAGTCTGGGCAGTGACCTGGAGCACTTTTTATGTAATTTCACACATTTATTTCTTACAATTTAAGCCCAAACTTGCGCTTTGTTACGCGTATAGATACATGTACACGTCTAAATTACAGAACTTGTGGTGTAGCCAGGATACTGTGTTGAGGGAGACATAACAGACATCTACTCTCCACTCCAGCACCTGCGCGATACCCACAGTACCAAACCAACAGCAGGGATAGCAAACCCCACGCACACTCAACCCCCACCTCTGCAGCGGCTGCAGCTGCTTCTTTGGAGTTGCAGATCTGGCACCGAGTCAGCAGGATCCCGCTGAATCCAGTCCTGCAAAAACAGACAAAACGAAACCACAGAGGAAAATGTTTTCCTACAAAATAAAAGCATGCATTTTACAGGTAGGAAGTTTCAGCCATGTCCTAATCGGAGCAATGAGGCAGTTTAATTTGGTCGAATTCAGACTGAAGTTGTAGAACTGATCACCAGGTTGAACCCAAAAAGCAGATGTGGGTAATTCACCCCAAGCATGACCTCTTAAAAGTCACCACAACAAGAGCTTCTTGAAACAAAGTGTGGAAAGCGCACGCTCCTAATCGAGTTATGCTTTTCAGAGAGGTCAAAGTTAGATTGTGGCGCACAAGAACTCGCAAAAAATAGGATTTATTTGAGCTTAGACCTATCAGACTTCTTTTTATATCGAGCTGGGCAGGGCCAGATTTCCACGAAGTGGTGTAATTTGCAGAATTTATTAATTTATTTAAAGCATTTTTATAGGATTTCCGGTCTGAAAACAGCCAAACAGTATGCTCGGTGAAAAGGACTAGACGCCTTCTGCTTCTTCTCCTAAAACAGGTCGAGCTTGAGTCACTATTTAAGTTGTTTTACTGGACTCAGCGTCAGGTCTGACACAAACTGACCAACCACATTATTATGCACAGTGTTCACGGGTTACAGGTATGCGTGATACAAAGTTGCGTAAAGGTCTGAGACCAACATCAGCTATCTTGGCCACAGCTCTTTATTTCTCATCGGCCCCTTGCCAACTGTGGAGTCCTGCCAAGACAAACTTTATTTTGAAATTTTTGCTCCCGGACGTTTCTATTTTTACCACGGGGGAAATTGACACCAGACTCCTTCTCTCCGCTTGTGGAAGTGGAAGAAGTTGAGTCTCCTCAGTCTCCTGCCGGCACCGCCTCCTCTCCTCTGCGCTTGGCTGCTGAGGACAGACTCACATCGGAAACTTCTGCACGGGGACACGGGAAGGTAGGTCACCGAGCTCGGCTCCACTCTCTCTCGTGCACAGCTCTGTAAGGAGAAAAGGCACTGCCCTGGCATGATGCTGGCTCTTCTAAGCTCTTGTCCGCTCCTTCCTGCAGAAACACTGCATGTCGCCCATATTTAGTGAGGCTCTTGCTGTCATGAGATCATTAGGTGCACCTCTGCGGACGTGAGCCTCATGCTGTCTTAGGGGATTTGTACTATTCCTAAAACCTCAAGTCCTCAAGTTGCTTCTCTTCTTCTTCGGAGTCCTTACTTATTAGCGCTGGGGTCTCCTTGTTAGCTGATGACAAGACAGTGTGCGTCTGTGTTTGTGTGTCTGTGTTTGTGTCTGCGTGTTGCTGAAGGGATGATGTGGCTGTCAGCGGACATCAGGTACCTGGTGAATGGTGGCGTTGTGTCGTTCGCCGGCTGGAGGCGCTACTCGCAGTTGCTCCAAAGCCACTAAATCTGCAGCCCGTTTCTAAAGTTGCTAAAGTGTTATCACGGAAACATTTAGACTGTTGCTAGTGTGCTATATTTAGACTATATGTAACATTATGATAAACAGGGGCGAGCACAGTTTTAGAGACAGATGTGGAACCATTGGCTGTGACATATCAGCACATGCACGTCCAAACAGCACGAATGACAGATGTGCAGGTTTGCAACATTTTTATCATTATTATTATTTTTGCATAAATATTCTTTAGCGCACACAGATGCAGTTTTAGTTTTTTATTTTGCTCTCATAAAAAATCGCAACGTTTTACCACCAACCAGATCACGCACACTTCTCCTTTTCTTCACATCCACATGTGATGCTTTTCTGGTTAAATCTCCTCCTTCTCCTTTTTTGGTAGCACTCATTCAACTTCATAGTAACATTAAATTGGCTGCTGCCTCTATTAGGACAGCACATGTACTTTATTAGTCCTGGGTCAGGTCGGTGCCTCCCAGTACTGCACAGCTTTTCTGTAACCTGCACATTTTTTCAATTTCTTTCTTTTTTTCTTTATTGCCGAGCTGAACTGACAGACGCTTGCCTGTCAGTTCATTTTTACAATCATTTTTAACGCTGAACATTTAACATTCCAGCAAATGCAAGGCTTTGCCTGTCGTAATGAATATTTTTGGTGTTTTTTGGATTGTTGTCAGTCCTAAACCAGATCCTCTGCCATCTGTGCTGCGCTGCTTCACTCACTCCGTGTCGAGTCAGCTCTCTCCCTCTCACTAAATATTGTTACAGACTTAGAGAGAGACATTTTTAGTGAGGGGAGCACATCCGAGGTTCTCCGGCCTGTTTATGTTCCCACTTTTCATCTGCGCACTGTTTATTTGGGGAAACAGAGACAGGAATTTCTGCACTTTTCTCCTTCTTCTTTCTTATTTATTTATTTATTTTTACCAGAGATTTTAATCTGAGATATTATCCCACCCTCTCTGTCACCTGTCCAGGCTTCATGTTGGTGGTGATCATGACTTATTTGCATTTATTCAAAGAGTGCGCAGTTGATGCTGAGGCTCGCGGTCTCATTTGGACAGAGAAACTGTGATGTGCAGTTACATGAAATAATAAACTCAACCTAAAGCTGATTCGTGCTCTCTGCTGATCAAAGTGGAGACTATACATATATATTGAGAGCAGTGGCAGTGGTGGGGGTGCTGTCCCAGACTTGAGGCTGAGCTGAGGGACACTTAGCATCTGTGCAGTCGACACAGACCGGTCATATGGTTTTGATTAGCTAGTTTTCGGATAGCTGCACTCTCCCTGGCAGCGGTCAAAGACAAGGACAGCATAGTCAGGCTGCAGTATGAAAAAAGGAATATCCATCCTGTTAAACACGGTTATAAAAAAGCACCAGTCAGTGTTCAGCAGATGATCAGATTATAAAAAAATAGAAGTGACGTGTCAATACGCCTCAGGGTCCACTGACTTGATTACACTTGAGTATTTTGGCCCACCCTTAAATTCCCACCTAATTATCCCGCGCGCTCCAGCTCTTTTCTCTCTTGGTAACAACGACCCCTTTCTTTTCTCCTCTGCGAAGCTCTGATAGCCCTGGAAGCTGTGTGGCCCGGCTCGGACCCCCCACCTCCCCCCCCCTCCTCTTTCCTCTCCTTTTTCTTTTTTTGGCCGCGATTGTAGAGCTATACGGTCGATATCCATCCAAGCAAAACCCAGACCCCGGAGAGTCCGTGCGCGCGCGCGCGCGCTCGCCTCGGCCTGGCCTCCTGACAAACATACGCTTTTTATTTCGTAAAAGTGATACAGCCCAGAGGGAAAGCTTTGCACAACAGACCGGGGAAGATGTACAACGCCGTCACCTCTGCGAGACAGCTCTTCTCTTAATTTAGCCGCATTTCCAGAGTAGCAATAATTTAGCAGAAGAGCTGTGCGCGAGGCAGCGCGTGCGCGTTGTGGTGTGTGTGAAGCCTGTCCACAAATCTTTCTTAGCAGCTGTATTTGAATAGCACTAGTGTGTGTGTGTGTGTGTGTATGTTTGGGGGGGGGGTCCTATCTCTCCTCTCTCTCTCTGGCTTAAGTAAACAAGAGGAGATGTAGTGGTCATGAAAAGCACTTGATAGCAAGTTTAATAAGCCCACAATAAATCGAGAGCGGTGCAGAAACAAGTAATGAAAATGGAAAGGGAGCTTGGCTCGCGCAGGAAATGACTGGGAGAAAGCCGGAGGGAGGGAGGGAGGGGAGGAAGACTTTTAGTTGTTCCATATATGAGGGAAGTTGCAACAGCACAAAGACCCCTCATTGTTTTTAAAGCACGCTTTCTTTCTTTCTTTTGAGTTTTTAACTGTACCTGTCCGTCGCTGTGTCAAATTAAGCAAGAGGCACATTAGGGGCCCTTTCATCTCCTCCACACTCAGTTTAGAGTATTAACACTCAAGAATGGCTCTCCCAGCTGGCTTGAATAGCTTACACTCCCCTCTCTTTCCCTCTCTCATTCCCTTCAGATTCTGCACTTGGCTTTTTTTTCCCTTCTCCTTTTCTTTTTTTTTTTGCAGGAGGCAACTTGTTCCCCCTGCTCTCGTCACCAAAAGGTTTCCCATCTGCCTCCGATTACCTTTGGCTGCAGTTGGTTAGCCGCCAGCCATCTGGGCCAGTGCGGCGTCTCCGCTCGCTCTTCTCTCCCCAGACAGCTCTGAGGGAGGGAGGCTAGCAGGGCCGGGACAAGAGTAAAGCTGGGTGGGCAGACTTTACTGGAGGATAGGGCTGGGTTTTTAGCTGACACTGCAATATGTAGCCAGGAAACTCAAGTCAAAAGAGAGAAGGGCACCCATGAAACTGTGACTGCCGACTCCTGGCTCCGGTCTTGTTTTTGTAATGGGTACTGTGTGGATGAGGAAGTCGTTTTTCCATTGTTATTATAATCTTGCTCCATGTTTGTCTCAAAGGACACAAAAATAATAAAAAAAAGAGCCTGAGGATTATTTATAGCACTCGACGGCTAAATTAGTGGTGTGGAAAGGAACGACTGTGATGCTGAACTTTTACCTGCATACGGTCTTAAAAGCTTTCTGTTCATACAGTCACATCTGTCAGGGTAAAACACTAACTGTCATCTGCTGACTCAGAACTGGCTTTGTTCACTACAGTGCAAATCATGTCCTTTATTTCCTGTTGTGCCTTCTTTCATTTGCTGTAATTAAAGGTTTAAGCCTTGTTAAGTACCACTGCTGTGCACAGGCCGCATGAAACACAGCATTAAGTCTTTTGTCAGCTTTGTCTGAAGCTGAAGTCTACAATCTAAAGAAATGTGCGCTGCCTTTCCTACTGTGGGGCGGCCGTCTGCCACAACGGGCTGGGGGTGAGGGAAGCAAGAAATCATCAAATTTGAATGTTTGTTTTTGAAGTCTTATTGTTGCTCCTGTATTTTTATTATTCATTCATTTATTTTCTTAAACTAGGGGACTCTGATTCAGAAAAAGCCGATATTATCTGTCCGTGTTGTGCTCCAAATATCAACACTGGTTGATGTATAGGCACTCACACCACCAGTCTGCTACACAGCACGTTGGCCAGTTAGTAAGCTGGACACCAGCCAGTGGGTCGCTCAGCCATGCAGGTTGCAGAGTCAGGCAGGGTAGCGGTGATGGCAACCTGCTGCGTCTCTCAAATTGGCTCATTTTACCCTCAGACCCTCTGACATAATACCCACTCCAAGCCCCGTTTGGGCACCGAGCACAGCTTTCTACGAGATCAATGGCCTCCTTTGTGTTTGAACTCTTTCCGGTGGACAGACAGCTTAAAGTGTGGGTCCTCAGAGGCCCCAGGTTGGGACCTATTGTTATCGCTGGTCACCAGAGTGAAAGACTGGGTACTTACCCTTGCTAAAGCCAAGATTGATTATCACAAGGAACAATGGAGGACTGGGCAGTCCTTGAATATGAACTGGGTAGATTTGCCTTGTTAGACTGGGAACTGCATGGGTCATTGGGATCTCATGCTCTCCCTCTGTCTGTGTTTTACTGTGTCTCCCTTGTTCCTCCTTCGTCTTTGAGCCTAAATTTGTCTTTCCCCACCCTTTCAACCCCTTTCCTGGCCTTCCTCCTGCAGTCACTAAACAGCTTCTCTTCTGCAGGCAAACGGAGAGGGGTGTGAAGCCACCGCTGCTGCTGAGCCCCTCGAGAAACCCGTCTAGGTGTTTTCCACTTCTGTGAGGACTTCTTCAGGGTCCATCACCTCTTGCTGACGAAACGCTGAAGACGCTGCTGGCTCTCCGATCTTTTGCAGCCATGGCCCAGCAGAGCGCTGAGCTGTCCCTCTGCTAGGCAACGGGGCATCCGAGAGGGCAGGAGACATGTTGGAACAGAGGCACGGGGACCACTGCACTGAATTTTGTTACTATAGCAACTACTGTAGTAACCATGGAGATGCTATGGAGGACTGGTCTGGTCTGCACTTTCATTGTCGTCATGGTTGCCACCCAGGTCGCAGGAGGTCACAAAGATGAGTTCGCTCAGTCACAAGGTGAGACAACCCATAGCCTGTATATAAAAGATGGATGTGGCCTCACCTCTGGTCTTTTTTCTAAAAAGTAAAGCCATGAAACCTGCGTTCTCTCTATAGGCCAGCAGGGGGCGACTCCTCTGGTTACCGAAAGGGTTCCTATGATGTCGTAAATTACTTTGAATCTCAAATGTGTGGGCTCAGTAAAATAAAAAAAATAAAAAAAATGCTTTTATTGTTTCAATTGTTAGTTTAAAGATTCGCTATTACAAAATGATGTTGAATTTCTAAATGATCATCTTATTTAGGGTTAAAAAGTATCCACCTTCATAATGAGACTTCACAAACCAACTGGTGACATCACTGTCTATGTCCATCCTTTATATACAGTGTTTGTACAACAAGGTATTTGTATTATTTAAATATCAAAACATTATCATGAAATTCTTCGACTAAGCTGAGAAAGGGTTTGTTCATAAAATGATTCTTTTTCCCCAAACCAGTGTCTGAGATCTGGGTTTGAATTAAACAGGCAATCCTATTTTTTTAATAGTGGGAAAGCATCACTGGTTTATTTCTGTGATCCAGGCTTTTGTGCCACTTTAATGTGTCGAGGTGCCCACGCTGGGATCTGTTTTTCATTTCAGTTAAACAGATAAAAAAGGGGAAACTCTCGCTGCTACCCAAGTTTAGAATAAAATAACTTAAACACAATTTGAATATGTCATTAGATGCCTGAAACTATATTTTTGCGTTATTGTATTTGTGTATAATTCAGCATGTGCACACGAGATAAAGTTGGATGGCACGAACTGGCTGTCGCTCTCAGTCCAGGCCTGCAGGTCGGGACCGACTGAGCTTTAACCCAGAACTTAAATCCCGCTGTGCTCTGGCACGAGCACGTACCCGGCCCGTCTACCAGAAGTCCTTCTAAAGGCAAAGAATAAAAACCCCTAAGTGTGCGTGTTTCATCACCCAGAACAAGGATATGATTGTGTATTTCCTAAACGTAACCTTTGACCCCCTCATATCCCTCGGTCTCTGATAGTTTGCCACACTGCTTCCCTTAAATAGCCCACCCCATAAACCCTGGCGTGCCATTTTCCCTCAGAGAGTTAGTTTTCCACAGTCACAGGAAGTCAGTTCTTTAAACCTGAACTTAATTACTTTTTTTTTTTATTAACAAGGATTGAACGTCTTTGTGTGATGTGAAAGGAGCTGCCTGCCACAGTAAAACCATACAGGATTATCTACCTTCTTCTGCCTCGGGCCTTCTTAGCACATAGTTTAGATTTTCTGCTACACACACGTATATAAATATATATATACAGTGTTGGGGAGTAACGGAATACATGTGCCGCCGTTACGTATTTAAAATACAAAATATGAGTAACTGTATTC